GAGTCATACCCATGCCTGGATGATGTCTCCACCTACTAGGAGAATATTATATATCCAGACGAAATCCACACTAGAAACGATAAAATTATTGCAATTGATCAGATGGTGAAAATGAAATCAGCTTGAGAGCAATGGTCAGTGTCAATTTGTCTGGAGATGGAATTTGTGGCAAGAGTAAATGCATCATGTGGAGGGAATATCAATCTTCAATAGAATGTCTAAGTGATTTGGAATGATCACTGAAACAAATTTGGAAATATAACAGGAAAAGAATCTATTGGGCTGAGTGGATGCTTCATGCATGATACTACATCCTGTATCTTAGTTGCTTCTCTCAGATGTAACATGTTTCCAGTAATATAAAATGAAGAATAATTCTGTTGAATATTCAGTTAGTGCCAGTGGAATGTAGAAATAATGTATAATTGGGGTTTTTTTTAAAGACATTTGGGGGGGGGAGGCAGATAACTTGTGTATAATTGTTAGACAAGATCTCCCTAGAATTCCCAATTTCTATCAAAAGATCAATGCTATATTTAACTGTAGAGGAAGTATATCTACAACACACGCTCTTCTGATGTATGAAAACAACAGTTCTCCCACACCAAACTGATTTGCTCCCTTAGCTCACGGAATGTTCCAATCATACTCAATGAATAATCAAACACCTCCATTCTCTACTTCCATCCTTGTCTTGCCTCTTCCCTCTCTTTAACTGGATAATTTGTCCATTAGGGCAATAACAGCTTCTACTCTCAACACCTTCCAGAAGTTTATAAAAGCCTCACTGAACTGAAAGACTTGAGTGTAGGAGTGTTATATTAATTGTGATACTTAAACTGTAAATATATGTTTTGTTTTCTTTAATATATCTTACTGTTCTTGTTGAATTATTTGAAGCTATTAGTTTATACACAATCCAGAACAACCTGACTGAATCCATTTTTGTTAGTGTTAACTCAATAGCTATTATAGAACACCTACATATTGGTTTTACAAGTATCTTATAAAGATAAAATAATATATAAATATGTTTTACTTAATATACCAAATCTATGCAACAAATATAACTTGCATATGCTTGAAACAAACAATTTATCCATCCATAAAAATAATCCAAAAGAACACAAACATTTAATTATCCCAAAGAGCTCTGAAACTTTTAAAGAATATATCTTTAAACATATCTTCATACCTAAATGATCAAAATGTTCAACAGTTGGTCCTTTCCAATTTGTAGCAGCATACAGGTTTTTTGCAACAAAGGTTCTGCAGCATACCTTAAGAGAGTATTTTCTGATACAGTTAACAGCCTTTTCAATTAAGGGGACCAGGTTAAGTAGACTAATCTTCTTAAACATTTAAAATTAGACTCTGAAAATCGGTCACTATTATTTACATTTTCAAAAATCAGAGAAATAATAAAAGCCAATTTTCATTATCTAGAAAGGATTATCTTCACAAGAAAAACTAAACAAAAAATAGGACATTCTTATTAACAGGATGTGCATGAACACCAGTACAGTATTCCCTTGGGACAAGACTTTTCAGAATTTAGTCTTACAAACTCTCATACATAGTAATCTGACCTGAACTTCCCAACTAATCAGAACTCACAATTCTATCATTGCCATGCTGCTCTATGGTGTCAGCTCTCTTCACTCTATCTAACCAAGCTGGAAATCAAGGAGATATGCATGGTCCCAAACTGGTAATCGGTAACTTGTTGCTTAGCACCGTAGCATTTTATCCCTACCAAGTGATACGGAGGATAGGACTGCTTTTCCCAGTCAAGAAAAAAAAATTACCTGTGAGCTAATTCTGTTCTTAAAATACATTTGAGGTTCAGGGAAATAAGTTTTATTAAATAATGAAAAATGGCAGAGAAAGAAGTTGACTCATATGGAATGCCTATTAAGCCTGCCCTCTTTACTCACTGACCAGCCTGACAGTCAGGGTGGATCTTCTTGTTAGAAAATGAGATTTAAAACCTACCCATTTGCTCTAGGAAAAATAACTTTAGATTACATACCATTTTTGTTAAGTTACGAGGAACTTTAATCTGCCCAAAATCTTTTTTTAGGCAGTCCAATACATAACTAAAGATTAAATTCTTATATTTTTAAAAACTTTTGACCCAAATTTCAATTACAAGGTTTTTTTTCTTTATCATCTAAAATACTTTACCTTGTCTCCAGTATTAATGATTAATTGTTCTAAGCAAGACTGTGCATTATCTGATTCACGGAGTTGTTTTTTTTCCTGTAGCTGTCTCTGGGCAAATACCAACACAGGAGTTATTTGCTCCGTATATCTCTCACTAGAAAAAGTTAAATGATTTTTTAAAAATAAATATTGTTATTTTAATTTTTTTTTAAATTCTTTCCCAAAGTCACTTTGTGTTACTTACTGTGTAATTGTGTTAAACTGCATAGCTATGTAAACTAGTGATTCCCATTTCTTCAAACGAAACAGAAACTCAAGAGTTTGCAGAATGAAGTGGCGTATTCCATGGAAATCTATAATGTTCACATCGTCAAGGGGATGTTCAAAAGAAAGGTTGGAACCACCTTCATCAATAGTAATGCCTCCTATGCAGCTTGGAACACCAAAATTTCCCTTGGGCTCAATAATCTGTAAATTTAAACAGAGATCATAATATCCTATCTCATTTTTGCAGCCAAATCATCATATAAATCAAGTACAAATCCAACTAGCACTTCTAATTACGTAAATTTTCTTTACATTGTATCAAGCATATTGTTCATAACCATTTCAATTTTTAATAATATTGCATATGTCTCTGATTTACATTAATATCAAACTCATAACAATATTTTTTGTTAGTCTTTGATATTTACTAACATAAGTCTCCTCTCTGAAGATATAGATCTCTCCCTTTAACAAATACCGTCGCAATGTTAATTATACTGGATGCTAGAATATGAGCATCTCAGAGAGACAGCCTGGTCCTTGTGTATAGTGAAGCAGATAGGTAATATCCGTACCTAAGATGGCATTAACAAGGAAAGATGTTTCATATTTTTCATGAAACCCATGTTGAGCAGATCTATCAAGACTGTTTAATTCAGCAAGTTAATTCCTCCAACTATAATGATTCCTAGACAAAGACAGAGGAAGTGGCATACATTCTAATGCACAAATTCAGAACTTCTAGTTGCACAAATATTGCATTCTCCAGTGCACTGCTCGGAGAGTCCAATGCTGGGTTAACACAGCCTATCTGCCCTTGGACTGAGTGACGTTTTTAGTTGACCACGCCTTCCTTTGCCTCTGCATGCTCAGTTCGAAAACTCAGTCCGCCCGTTAGGACTGTTTTGGAGAGCTCCAG